TCCATCTAGTCTGTGTCTTCCCCAGCACTCACTGTTAGAGCAGCATCTACCCAGTCCTCACTTCACCAGTTTCACTGAAGCCAATAAATTCTGACTGTCCCATTTCTCTTAATCCAGATGTACAGTTTCTTTTCTTTTCTTTTTTTTAAGATTTATTTATTTATTTGAAAGGTAGAGTTACAGAAAGGCAGAGGCAGAGAGAGAGAGAGGTCCTCCATCCGCTGGTTCACTCCCCAAGTGGCCGCAACAGCCAGAGCTGGGCAGATCCAAAGCCAGGAGCCAGGAGTTTCTCCTGGGTCTCCCACACGGGTGCAGGGACCCAAGGCCATCTTCCACTGTTTTCCCAGGCCATGGCAGAGAGCTAGAATGGAAGTGGAGCAGCCAGGACTTAAACTGGCGCCCATATGGGCTGCCGGCACTGCAGGCAGTGGCTTTACCTACTATACCACAGCAGTAGCCCAGATGTATAATTTCCACTACATGACTGCTCCCTATGCCCTTTTGGTTATCTATGTCCAAGTATTTAAATACAAAAACATCTCCTAATAAAAATGCCTTTCCTTTTATTCTTTACATGGACTCAGAGCTTCAGAATTATTTTACTTATAAAGGTATGTAATACTACCTGTAAAATGCCTGATAAAAAGCACACTACGAAAGACTGATCATAAAGAGTGGAAATTACACAAAAATTAAAAATAGACCACAGGATTTAACATAAAATTTAAAACTATTACATCAAAGTTAAAACTTTTATGCTTCAAAAAATGACATTAGGCACTGGTACCGTGGTGTAGCGGGTAAAGCCTACCACCTGCAGAGTCAGCATCCCTTATGGGTGCTGGCTCCGCTGGTTCGAGTCCCAGCTGCTCCACTTCTGATCCAGCTCTCTGCTATGGCCTGGGAAACCACTGGAAGATGGCCCAAGTCCTTGGACCCATGCACCCACAGGGAAGACCAGGAAGAAGCTCTTGGCTCCTGGCTTCGATCAGCTCAGCTCCAGCCTATGAGGCCACTTGGGGAGTTAACCAGTGGATGGAAAATCTCTTTCTCTCTCTGCCTCTGCCACTGTAACTCCGCCTTTCAAATAAATAAATAAATATTTCAAGAAAATGACATTGAAGGGGTGGGCATTTGGCTCAGCAGTTAAGACACAGCTCGCGATGCCCACATCCCATATCAGAGTGCTTGGATTCAAGTCCCAGCTCTACTTCCAATTCCAACTTCCTGCTGATGTGCATCTGGGGAGGCAGCAGCTGATGGGTAAAGCACTTGGATCCTTCTTACCCATGTAGGATATCTAGACTGAGTTTCCAGCTCCTGGCTTCAGCCTGGCCCAGCCCCAACTGTTGCAGGCATTTGGGGAATGAATCAGCTGAAGGAAGACTCTCTCTGCCAGTCTCTGTCTCTATGTCTTTCCTTTCCTTTTTTTTTTTTTTTTTTTAAGGTTTATTTTATTTATTTGAAAGAGTTACAGAGAGAGTCAGAGACAGAGAGATAGATCTTCCATCCGCTGGTTCACTCCCCAGATGGCCACAGCGGCCGGAGTTGAGCTGATCTGAAGTCAGGAGCCAGGAGCTTCCTCCAGTTCTCTCATGTGGGTGCCCAAGGACTTCGGCTGTCATCCACTGCTTTCCCAGGCCATAGCAGAGAGTCAGATCAGAAGTGGAGCATCCAGGACTAGAACCGGCGCCCATATGGGGAACCGGCGCCCATATGGAATGCCGGTGCTTCAGGCCAGGGCTTTAACCTGCTGCACCACAGCACCAGCCCCTGTCTCTACGTCTTTCAAATCAAATATCAAATTTTTTAAAAACTTCTTTAAGGCAGCCATCGTGGCACAGTTGGTTAAGCTGCCGCTTGGAACCCTTCAGCCCGTCTGAGAGTGCCTGAGAGCTAGGACTCCCTCTACTTCCAATCCAGTTTCCTGCCTATGTGCCCGAAAGGCAGCAGGTGACGGCCCAAGTACTTGGGCTACTGACGCTCCTGCAGGAACCTCAGATGGATCTGGCACAACCCCAGCTGTGTGGGCCTTCAGGGAGTAAACCCATGGATGGCTGATCTCTCTCTCACTCTTTCAATAAATAAATAAATCTTTTTTAAAAGGTGGGGGAGAGTAGGAGAGCTGGCAACAGCTCTACTAAAGTCAAGGTTCCTTCTAAAGTTCTAGTAATCAAGCAGCCCTGTGAAGATAAGGGGAGGACAGAGTCCCATATAGATTTGAAGGCATATGACAGTTTGGAAGGTGGTAAAGGTAGCCTCAAATCAGCAGAAATAATTATTTCCTTAAATGCTTTTTTAACATGACAAATTACAAATTCTAGTTTAAACACAATCATACATACATATACTTAAGAATCTCAGATGGATCAAAGATCTAAATATGAAGAAAACCCTGAAAATGATTAGAATAAAATATCAAACTACAGACTATCTGAGTTATCAGAGTTTCTTAAACAATACCTAAATGGCATAAACATTTAAAATGTGAAACACATGGCTATATCAAAATGAACAGAAGAGGGGCTGGCACTGTGGCACAGTGGGTTAAAGCTTTGGCCTGCAGTGTTGGCTTCCCAGGTGGGCGCCGGTTCAAGTCCTGGCTGCTCCAATTCCAATCCCTGTCTCTGCTATGGCCTGGAAAAGCAGTAGAAGATGGCCTAGTCCTGGGTCCCTCTATTCACATGGGAGACCTGGAAGAAGCTTCTGGCTTTGGATTGGCTCAGCTCTGGCCTTTGTGGCCATTTGCGGAGTGAACCAGATGATAGAAAACAGTCCCCCTCCTCATCTCTTGTAACTCTTGTCTTTCAAATATACAAAATATTTTTAAAAACTGAAAAGAAGATTGAAAGAAAATTTTAAAATAACAAGAAATTCAAAGTACCACCCCAAGGATGCTTTACTAACAACAAAGAGGAGAGTAGTGGAGCACCCTGGCAGACAGCACTTATCACAGGACCAAATCCGATCACCATCAACCTCATGTGCCTCTTGATTTTGATATACCAAGAAGGACATCACAAAAAAAAAAGAAGAAGAAGAAGAAGGACATCACTTCACTTAGGTAATTTTCTGTCAAAGACAGAGAACCGAGCTTAATTATTAGAATACCAAGTGAACACTGAGTGGTAACCTACAAAATAATCAGCTGAGTCTTTTTAAAAGAAATCAATGTCATGGAAAGGAGAGTACCATTCAGGAGTTGAAGGAGACAAATAGACATGACGACTACATGGATCCACGTGGATCCACATGGCTCCTGAGTCAAAAAAATTCAGGGGCTGGCGCAGTGGCAAAGTAGGTAAAGCTGCCACCTGCAGTGCCGGCATCCCATATGCGCACCGGTTCGAGTCCTGGCTGCTCTACTTCCAATCCAGCTCTGCTATGGCTTAGGAAAGCAGAAGATGACCGAAGCCCTTGGGCCCACACACCTGCATGGGAGACCTGGAAGAAGCTCTAGCCTAGCTCCTGGCTTTGGATCAGTGCAGCTCTGGCTGTTGTGGCCATCTGGGGAGTGAACCAGTGGATGGAAGACCTCTCTCTCTCTCTGCCTCTCTGTAACTCTGCCCTTCAAATAAATAAATAAATCTTTTTAAAAAAAAAATCTAGCTGCATACAGTCTGCATATCGGACAAGAGTTCTTTATGAATAAAAAAGTCATTCGGTGTAATAATAATATTGTAGTTTTGTTCAATAACGTTCTTACTCTTAGGAGATCAAGGCAGAAGCATTTCAGGATGAAGTGTAATATCTACAATATGCTTTCAGTAATTCAGCTAAAAATGTGTATATAAATATATAACTGGATCACACCTTCCTGTGCCATACCCACAGTGGGGAAATGTTTATGTAAAATATAAAAAGACAGCATCTGTGCACTTGACACAGGGAGAAAACAAAAGTAAGGTTAATATGGCAAAATGTTAGCAACTTGAGAATCTAAATTTTACCAGTGCTCACTAAACTATTCCTGCAGCTTCTCTTTAGGTGGGAAACTTCAAAATAAAAGGTTGGGTGAGGAGGACAAAAAGAGAAAAGTTGCTGTTGTGGAAGTGCAGGAACAGACTAATGCTTGGTGTTCAACACACATTTTTACAGGCCCACATCCCTACAAATTACATTTGTTAACTGCCAAATATTAAGGGCTCTTTCTAGGGTGACTGTGATGTTGGTAAGAGTTTAGGCTATACTTGTCAAAACTCATCCAGCGGTCCAATGAAGACCTGTGTGTTTCCCTCTACGTCAACTTTGCCCCCAAAAGTGTTAAAAAGCTATAAAGAACTCTAATTCATGTTAAGCATAGTTAGGCGTTTGATGAGAAAGTATCCACAGCAACAGTGCTACCTACAACTCACATTGAAACATTTCCAAAAAAAAGCTGAATGAATGGATGGCTAAAAGGATGGACAAAAGCAAAGATAACCAGACACATCAAACACGAAGCACGTTAGCAGGTCGGTACAAGATCGATCAGTGAACAAGTTTTTTCAGTTTGTCTACACGTATGAAAATCATTATTACAAACTATGCGAGGCGGAGTGGTCTAAGGAAATACCAGGTCAAACACAGGGCCGCTGAACAGGTGGGAAGCAGCGGCTCTCACTGGAACCGCCGCAGAACGCGACTTTGCCAATCTCCGAGGAGGCGAGGAGGGGAAGGGGAGCAGGTGCAGACACCTGCGGGACTCGGCGGAAGCCCGCACAGACCTGCGGCGCGAAGCCGCGCGCGCCGAGAGGGACCCAGCGACGCGGGCGCTGCCCCGCGCCAGGCCAGCGCGCCCCGCCGGCCCCCGCAAAGCCGTGGCATGACCCGCAGGAGACTCGGGCGCGGAAGCCACGGCGACGCGAAGGCAGAGTCCCTCTCACCACAGCCTCGCGCGGACGATCCCACCCGCCCGGGGTCGTCCACGCCCGCCTGGCCAGCGGCGTCCCGAGCCAGAGCCGCGCCCTGGAGAAAACCCGCGCGAAACTCGCGAGCGGACGCGCCGCCCACCGCCTCACCAGGACTCCGCACCCTTCACTCCCACGTCGCCCTCTTGGAGGAACCCGAGAGACTGATGAGCCGGGGGCGAAGACCCACTCACCGCGGGCGGCCGGCGGCGGCCATGTTCGCGCCGAGTGCGCAGGCGCGCTCCGGGACCCGGATGTGCGCGTCGTTCGCGGCGCTGCGGCCGGCGGCGGCGTCCGCCCTGCCCGGGGCCGGCGGGACCGGTCAGGGGCCGGTCAGAGACCGCCGCGCTCGCCGTTCCTGCCCGCCTCCCCGCTCATGTGTTACTTGGTCACGGCTTTACAGCGACGTGGGCTCACGGGTGTTTCCATCACGCTTTAACCCGATGCTGTTTTATTGCAGCGCCTTAGCTTCATTTACTGAATAATTTGCCCAAAAATATGACAAATATGGTAACTTCCGCAAAGTACACCTCATTCTATTTTAAAGCTGAAACAAACTACACGTTTTTAGACTAGACAGTGAAGTAAGGATTTTAGATGGAAGATTAATAATGCGAATGTTATAGAAAAAGCAATATATGGGCTAGTAGTAAGCAGTAGGAAATATGCTTTGAAATGAAATCTTCTGTATGTATGTCTGTAAAAACTATTCCAATAATAAAACTCAGATGAGTGCAAAATAAATAACCCATGTGCCCACCGTCCAACATTAATCAGAGGATGGGGGAACCCCCAAAGAGGCCCTGAAGGGTGTGGAGTGGGGATCCCCGCCCTGGTCAAGAATGAGATGGCAATTCTCAAAGACTCTCCACCAATAGATTTTTTTAAGATTTATTTATTTGAAAGGCAGAGTTACCGAAAGGCAGAGTCAGAGAGAGATCTTCCATCCACTGGTTCACTCCCCAAATGGCAGCAACAATCGGAGCTGGGTCAATCTGAAGCCAGGAGCCAGGAGCTTCTTCCGGGTCTCCCACGTGGGTGCAGGGGCCCAAGGACTTGGTCATCTTCTCCTGCTTCCCCAGGCCATAGCAGAGAGCTGGATAGCAAGTGTAAACACCAGAAGTTGAGCCAGGCACTCAGATATGGGATGTGGGTGTCCCAAGTGGAGATTTAACTACTGATTAAAATGCTCACCCCGCAGTGTCTTTTATGTTTTTCCTTGCTTTTTCTTAGTATTGTATAATGAGTGTCCAACAAGTTGAAAAAAGTATTGAATAAAATCATGAAGGCAGCAAAGCAAGTGATAACAGCCATCACAATGGAAGACATTGCAACATTCAAAGTCATTGTCAAGGACAATATTATTTAGGGAACAAAGTGATGCTTTAAACATCTGACACACTCTTAAAGTTTACTCCTTACAGGTGGCCATTTCATTGTGTTTTAGGAGCATTTTATTGTGTTTTAGTTATGTTTCAGGGAAGTGATTTGGAAGTTTGGTTGGGAAACAAGCACTGGTTAGCATTTTTACTCAGGGCATCTAACAGGCAGAATAACCAGAAGGTGCCAGAATTTGTCAAAATACCTAGATGTGAGAACTACAAAGTCTTTACAGTTTTTCTCTATAGTAGTAACAGCCATTAAATGGAAACTGTACATTGTTTTCATTCTTTCCATAGTTACTCTCTACTTTCGGTATGGGAAAACTGAAAGCCTGAATATTTGTGACAGAGGGAGAAATTGTGGTACATTCAGTGGAGCAATATATAACAGTTTAAAGGACTGGGGCTGGTGTTTAGTCTAGCAGCTAATACACTGGTTAAGATGCCCACACTTCACATCAGAGTACCTGGGTTCAAGACCCAGCTCAAGGGGCCCTCATTGTGGCATAGTGAGGTGAGCCACTGCCCTCAACACCGGCATCCAATATGGGCATCAGTTCGAGTCCCAGATGCTCTACTTCTGATCCAGCCCTCTGATAATGTGCCTGGGAAAGCAGCAGAGATGGCACGAATGCTTGGATCCTTGCCACTCTTGTGGAAGACCAGGATAGAGTTCCAGGCTCCTAGCTGTGGCCTGGCCTGACCCCTGCTATTACAGTCATTTAGGGACTGAACCAGCAGATAGTCAATCTGTCCCTCCCTCTCTCCTTCTCCCTCTCTTTCTCTCTCTCTCCAATATTCAAACAAATAAATCTTAAAAAAAAAAAAAATACCCAACTCCAGCTTCATTCTAATGCAGATCCTGGAAGGTAGCAAGTGATGGCTCAGGTAATTGGATTCCTGACACCCATGTAGGAGACCTGGATTGAGTTCCTGGTTCCAACCCTGGCCATAGTGAGCAGTTGAGGGTGAACAGATTATAGCTCTCTCTTAAATAAAAATTGAAAGCCAAGGAGTAACTTGCACACAAAGCAGTCAGTTCTCCAAAAGACACACTGCATGCATAAAGTAAAATGTGCTTTTATCCACAAAATATAATTTATGTAGCAATAAAAAACAAAATCTATATATTATATAGAAAAGGATACATAGGAAATAATAATTAGAAAAAAAAATAAAAAACCAGAAAGCTATCCCAACCTTAAGGAAGTGGCACCTAACTAGAGAGAGGGAAATAGACCAGGAAGAGACAAAGGGAACCCCAAATATACCTGTGATGTAAAAAAAAATGCAAAAGCTGATTCCATGTTAACACAGGTAAAAACCTCAATCATAATACATGGGCATCATCTCTGTACTTCATATATTTTATTGTTCTCTTCTGCAGTTTCAAATCCTTCACAATTTTGAAGTGGAAATTGGAAAAATAGTCTAATCACAATAGAATATCATTCATAATAATGATAGTGGGAGTAACTGGGAATGAATTAGCAAAAGTAGCAAAGGTTCTTTATGAAGAAAATATAAAATCTTGTTACATGGGGCCAGTGGTGCTGTGGCATAGCGGCTAAAGCCACCACCTGCAGTGCCAGCAGCCCATATGGCAGCCTGTTTGAGTTCCAGCTGCTCCACTTCCAATCCACCTCTCTGCTGTGGCCTGGGAAAGCAGTAGAAGATGGTCCAAGTCCCGGGGCCCCTACAACCTCGTGGGAGAGCCAGAAGAAGCTCCTGGCCCCTGGCTTTGCTCAGCCCCGCTCTCGTCCATTGTGGCCATTGGGGAGTGAACCAGCGGATGGAAGACCTCTCTCTCCCTCTCTATCCCTCTCCCTCTTTCTCTTTGCAACTCTTTCAAATAAAATAAATAAATCTTTTTTTAAAAAATGTTATTCCAGACCTAATATGTTTAGAATACAAAGGATTTAGGTTAATATTATTTTATATAAATATTAACCTAATAATATTAATAACCTAATAACCTTTAGGTTAATATTATTCCTAAATAGAATTTCTTAAATTAATATATCAACCTTATAAAATATCAATCTTCACAAAATTACCAAAGGGATTTATAGCGATTTCATTTCCAGGACATCCTCTGCTCCCAGAATAAAACGACTTACAGGTAACATGGGCGAGGGAGGGAGTCCAAAGTACCTATCTGGTTAGAATAATTAGGCACTCCCTGATACCAAAGTGTGCTACATCAAGCGGATAGGCCTAAAACACATCTCTGCGCAGCCGCACCAAAGGCAGGTGCCCGCCACCAACCCCACGGCCCTCCCCACCCCGTGGCGCATGCGCCGTGTAAACGCCACATCTCCCAGAAGGCCCTGCGCGAGACCGTTGGCCCGGGCAGTGGCTCCTCTTCCGGCTGTGCGGGGAGATGGCGCGGGATCTCGATGGCGAGGTCTTCAAGGCGCTCAGGCGAGATCGGGGATCGCGGGGCTTCAGGGGGACCCCGTCCGCGGTGTTCAGACTCCAGCATCAGGCAGACCAGAACTCGAAAGCCGTCGCCGTGCCTGGTTTCAAGACATCCCGCAGAACGATGAGCCTGGCCTAGTCGGCAGGTAACTAGCCTTGACTTGACTTCTGGTCACCCTAGGGATTCAGGTCAGAGTTGTGCCTTTGCTCTGAGTTTTCATTCATCGCAGAGGTACAGAAACGGAGCGAGCTCCGACCCGAACCGTGGGGTGCAGATGGGAAGGACCCAGAAGCCAACTGAGTGCAGCTCTCGCATGTGGGTGGCCCAGACCCACCTGAGCCCCTACCACGCTTCCCACGGTCGCATCAGCAGGCAGCTGGGACCAGGAGCCAGATCTGGGTATCAAACCCAGGTACTCTGATAGGGCCCCGGAGGCCAGTGTCCTGCTTAGCTAAATGCCTGCCTCCAGACTAATTTTTTTTTAAGATTTATTTATTTTTTTGTTGAAAGTCAGAGTTACACAGAGAAGCAGAGAGAGTCTTCCATCTGCTGGTTCACTCCCCAATTGGCCGCAATGGCCAGAGCTGCACCGCTCCAAAGCCAGGAGCCAGGAGCTTCTTCCTGGTCTTCCACATGGGTGCAGGGGCCCAAGGACTTGGGCCATCTTCTACTACTTTCCTAGGCCATGGCAGAGAGCTGGATCGGAAGTGGAGCAGCTGGGACTAGAACCGGCACCCATATGGGATGCCGGCGCTTCAGGCCAGGGCGTTAACCTGCTGTGCCACAGCGCAGGCCCCCAGACTATTTTTTAATTTTAGGAAAGGTGAGTGGCTTAGAGACAATCTGTTGAGAAACTACTGAGGGGTGGTTGCTTCAAAGAGGTCTAAACGTCAAAAAACATTAGATTTATTGCCCTTAGTTTCCTACAACATTTTCCTAAGAATATTTTCAAACATACAGAAATCTTTATAAACTGTGAACACTCAGGCCCTAGATTAGGCAATTAACATTTGATAATATGTGCTTTATTTTATTGCCATTATTGGATTTGTTGTGCTACCCATCTATTGGATTTATATAATCAAATAGGATTAAGAGTGAGTATGAGCACAGCAGTTAAGCATTGGCGGGGGGGGGGGGGGTATGGGGAATCCTGTATCTGAGTGCTTGGCTTCAACTCCCAGCTCTGCTCCCCATTCCAGTTCCCTCGCACCTTGGAGGCAGTGGAAATGGCTCAAGTACTTGGGTCTCTGCCACCCAGGTGCAAGACCTGGATTGTGCTCCCAGTTCTTGGCTTTGGCCTAATCCAGCCTTGGCTCTTGCGGACACTTTGGAAGTGAACCAGAAGAAAAGAAATCTTTCTCTGTGCCTGCCTTTAAATAAATAAAATGTAGCACAAACTTCAATAGAATTATGCAAGAGAATGCCTTAAAAAAAGATTTACT